TGAGATAACCCCATTTTACCTCTCCCTTTCGCCTTCTCCCAGTATAATCCTTTCTCACCTCTTAATTTTATTCTCTAGATATCACCCCTTTATCTTCAACTCTCCTTGTGCCCTATATCTATACATGTAATTTTTTTTTTCTCTCCAACTACCCTAATACTGACAAAGGTCTCATGAGTTACCAATATCATCTTTCCATATAGGAATATAAACAGTTCAACCTTAATAAGTCCCTTATGATTTCTCTTTCCTGTTTACTTCTTCATGTTTCTCTTGAGTCTTATATTTGAAAGTCAAATTTTCTATTCAGCTCTGATCTTTTCATCAAGAATGCTTGAAAGTCCTCTATTTCACTGAATGTCCATTTTTTTCCCTTGAAGGATTATACTCAGTTTTTCTGGGTAGCTGATTTCTTGGCTGTAATCCTATTTCCTTTGCCCTCCGAAATATCATATTCCAAGCCCTGTAGTCCCTTAATGTAGAAACTGCTAAATCTTGTGTTATCCTGATTGTGTTTCCACAGTACTTGAATTGTTTCGTTCTGGCTGCTTGCAATATTTTCTCCTTGACCTGGGAACTCTGGAATTTGGCTACGATATTCCTAGGAGTTTTCCTTTGAGGATCTCTTTCAGGAGGTGATCAGTGGATTCTTTCAGTTTCCATTTTACCCACTGGTTCTAGAATATCAGGGCAGTTTTCCTTGATAATTTCTTGAAAGATGATGTCTAGGCTCTTTTTTTGATCATGGCTTTCAGATAGTCCAATAATTTTAAAATTATCTCTCCTGGATCTATTTTCCAGGTCATTTGTTTTCCCAGCAAGCTATTTCTCATCATCTTCTATTTTTTCATTCTTTGGTTTTGTTTTACAATGACTTGATTTCCCATAAAGTCACTAGTTTCCAATTGCTTCATTCTAATTTTTAAGGAAGTATTTTCTTCAGTAAGCTTTTGGAATTCCTTTTCCATTTGGCCAGTTTTGCTTTTTAAGGCATTCTTCTCCTCACTGGCTTTTTGGACCTCTTTTGCCGTTTGGGTTAGGCTATTTTTTAAGGTGTTATTGTCTTCAGTATTTTTTGGGGTGTCCTTTAGCAAGCTGTTGACTTGTTTTTCATGATTTTCTTGCATCACTCTCATTTCTTTTCCCAGTTTTCCCTCTACTTCTCATACTTGCTTCTCAAAATCATTTTTGAGCTCTTCCATGGCCTAGGACTGTTTCATATTTTTCTTGGAGGCTTCGGATGTAGGACCTTTGACTTTGTTGTCTTCTTCTGGTTGTATGTTTTGATCTTCTTTGTCACCAAAGAAAGATTCTATGGTCTGACATTTTTTTGGTCAGTTTGCTCATGATCCCAGCCAATTACTTTGAGGTTAAAACTCTTTCTTAAGGTAAGGGTCTGCTTCCAGTGTGGAGAATTTGCTGTCCCAAACTTGAAGGGTTTTGTGCAGCCGTTTTCAGAGATATTTCTAGGGACCTGTAAGTTTTCAGTTCTTCCAAGGTGGTATGATCAAGCGCGAGGTGTTCACTCCTTTCCTGGCCTGTGCTCTGGTCTGTTAGTGACCACAAGCACTCTTTTCTGCCTTGGAACTATGATGAAGATTCCCTCTCCACTGACACCACAAGCTCCACCATGCCAGCACTCCTCTTCACCCCAGGATCACCACCCAGAACTGTGACGCAGATCCAAGCACAGGCGAATCAAGAGAATCCTGCCTTGGCACCAGTACAGACATCCCTGCAATCCCCCTCTGATCAGCCACTCAGTTCCCCCTCAGTCTGTGGGCCAGAAGCTCCAGAAGCAGCTGCCATGTCAGGACTGGGGGTGGAACCCAGCTTTTCTCTCACTGCTGACCTTCCTATTGACCTTCTAAGTTTTCCTTGGCATTTGTATGTTGAGAAGTCTGCAAACTGCCACAGTGGCCTGTGATTCAGACCTGTGAGGCTTGCTTCAGGTTCGCTGAGGCCTTGTATTTGTTTGCACGCCCATGCTGAACTGCATTTGTCTCCCATCCCATCTCAATAGACCTTTCTAATCAACCATCCAGGTTGTCTTGGGCTAGAAATTTGTTTCACTCTGTCTTTTAGTGGGTTCTACTACTTTAGAATTTGTTTATAACCATTTTTTACAGGTATTTGGAGGGGTTTGGGGGAGAGCTCAAGCAAGTCACTGCTTTTACTCCACCATCTTGGCTCCGCCCCCAGAAAGGCAAGTGGCCTGATTTTTTAAAAAAGAAGGGAGAGTTGAGTCTGCAAACTATGTCAGAGAGCTTGATTCCTCTTCTGATAAAATTCTAGAATATCTTATTAAAAAAATTAGTTTGTGCTTCTTTAGAGGGGATACCTTATGTCTTCACAAAACATGAAGTAATCTAACCAAACTAACCTTGTTTCCTTTTTTTCTGAAATGTTAATACAGTGGTAGATCAGAGGAATATGGAGTCATAGTATTCTTAAATATGTGTGACAAAAGCTCTCATGCTGTCCTTTTGGATAAGATAGGTAGATATGGACTAAGTGAACTGGTTTTGAATGACTGCCAAAAGATTAGTCTTTCAATTTGAACTTGAAAGAAAGTCTCTAGTGTAGTACCTGAGAGTACCTATCTATAGTGGCAACTGGGGTGTACGAGGTGTTCAGGGAGTACTAGCATCTCTGGTATAAGGGCTTGTCAAGTCCTTTTATCCACCTTTGGTGTCCACCTATCACCCCACTCTCACTTGTGCCTCCAAGAAGTTGTAGCATGGGTCGTGGCCATAGCCCAGGAGAACCACCTCATTACACAGGCTAAAACCAGGTTAAGGGTAACTGACAGGCTCAAACCTATTAGTTAGTTAGGGGGATGTCTACCCCAAGAATGTGAAGACTTCCGTCGGTGGAATGGACAGATGAGAACAGTTTATTCCAATGGCTATGAAGGCAGCAAAAGCAGGTACTGTGGAGCGCTTAGAGCTTGGTCAGACATCTAAGGTCATCCCCTACATCCCAGGCCCTCATCTTGACTTTTATCTTGCCACTGGACTCAGATGACTCTGGAGGAGAGAATGAGGGTAATGACTTTGTGCAACCCTGCCTCACTTAAATCCAGTTTATGAGCAAATCAGCATATCACCCATGATGTCATTAGTCCTGATCCATATCTGGCCACTGGACCCAGATGGCTCCAGAGGAGAAAGTGAGGCTAGTGACTTTGCACAGTCCTTCTTCACTTAAATCCAATTTACTTGCATGTCTTGGCATCACCTTCCTGATGTCATGGTCCTGTTTGAGAATGAAGGACAAACAGCAGCAGCAACAACCTCATTGACAATAATGTCAACTGCAGCATAGCATTAAGACTTTTGTTAAGCAGGTTTAGGCCTTGAATTTGGTAATTAAGACATTATTTGTGACCTTTGAGAGAACAGTTTGAGTGGAAACAAACGCTAAGTTACAGGAGTTAAGAAGAAAGTGGGAGATAAGCAAGTTGGAAGCATTACGTATAAATAACGTTCTCAAGTATGCCTGTGCCTTTCTAAGCTGAGCTCATCATATGGAAATGCTTGTTTTGTTCTGTGAATTGAAAATAAAATAAATTTGTTATTAAAAATAAGTTTGTCTGTGAAGGGAGAGATTTATGAGGCCCTTGACTAATTTTTTTTCCTACTACTGATCAAAAAGTTTTCTCATTCCTGTGTTAAACCATGAGTGACAATGAACCTCAGTAGTCTATATATTTATGAGTCTTTTGTCAAAGGAGTTTTCTTGGCATAGTAGGTATGGACTTTTTTCAGCCAGTTACAAGAGACCAGACAGATGTTTGGATCAGAGAGGATCTTAGTGTTACAAAGAAGCAAAACAACCACCAAGCTATAATGTAGTAGAAATAATCTAATAATATTTGAGAATGAAGAAAAAATAGTTTTATACTTCAGCTATCATCTCTCCTTATCTGTCCATCCTCCTATGATTAATTCACATTCTAACAAGTTGAGGCGAGTAGAGTCCAAACACTGGAATTTTATAACCTCTGCTACTTTTGTAACCTGCTCTGTCATTATAAAATTGACAGTATTTACTGAATAATTATAGAAAATAAGAATTTCAGGTAAATGTTTTATTTTTACACTATGGTTTCTTTGAATCTTATGTAATATAAGAAATCTTTGTTAACATTAAGGTGTTGTTATATTTTCATAGTGGATTTTTGCCAGTAATCCTTTTCAAATTGTTCTGTTTATTTATCAAGCCTGAGTAGTTTACAAGAGATAAACTCAGAGCTTCTTTTTAGTTATTGTTTCCAAGGACAGACATTGAAGGTTCTATTGTTGCTTTTTGCCATGAGTGTTTCAGTGTTAGTGAACATTTATCAAACACCTACTATGTGCCAGGCACATAGTGCTAAGCGCTGGGGAGAGAGGAAAAAAAAAAGCAAAAGATAATCCCTGCCCTCAAAGGGCTAACTGGGGAGACAACAGTCAAGCAAGTATGTAAAAACTATATACAGGGAGAAATAGAAATAATGAAAAGAAGGAAGGTAAGTAGAATTAAGAGAGGGGTTGGGAAAGGCTTCCTCTAGAAAATGAAATTTTAGTTTGAGCAAAGGAAGCCGGGAAAGTCAGTAAGTATGGTTGAGGAGGGTGAGCATTCCAGGCATGGGGACAATCAAGAAAAATTCCCAGAGCCAAAAGATGGAGTGTCTTGTTCATGGAACAACAAGGAGGCCAATGTCACTGGATTGAAGATTGTGTGTTAGGAGTGGACATGTAAAAGGGGGCTGAGTTATGAAGGGCTTTGAATTTTGAATAGAGGATTTTGTATTTGCTCCTGGAGGCAATAGGGAACCACTGGAATTTATTGTCCTATTTTACTTTTGATTTTCTGGCTTACTCCCTGGAGGAGGCATAAACTGAAATGTTGGATATTAAGTAGTTTATGCTAACATCATTTTAAAGTTTATTTTCACTGATTAATAGAGCTTAAACTTTCTGTTGTTAATATTTTCCTTTTCAACTTAATTCCAGGATGCTACAGTTATTCCCCACCTTATGGCACTACTCGGTAGATCTCGTTATACGCAAGAATACATTTGTCAGATCTTCTCTCATTGCTGCAAAGTAAGGATGTAGAATAAATGTTTTCTATAATGCAAAGTTTTGTGTTCCTAAAGGAAATTATTTTTCTTCAGTATTTTTGAGATTTGTGAATAGAACTAATAGATATGGCAAGTTTGAGCTTTTGCTTTCAGTTTAATATGAAATAATTTTTTCGTGGGATCATACCTGTGATTTCATAGTGTAGGGAAGTCTCAAAGCAAATCTGCACCTGATCTCTACCTTAGAGCAGCCCTGAGAGATGAAATGACCTGGCTAGGGTCACACAGTCACATGGGTGTCAGAGGAGGGGCTTCACCCAGGTCTTCTTGATTCCCAAGCCATCTCTCTATTTAATGTGTGACAGTTACTCCATGAGATAAATTATTATTATTATTTATTTACTGTAGAGATAGGGACTGGACCTCTGATTTTCTTGGTAAAGGTAATCTCTGGAGAGGCAACTTCTGTTAATGCTGAGCAGCAACTTTTCTGTGATTCGTTGTCTTCTGAGAGTTATTTCAAGAGGTTAAGGAACTTGCTCAGGGTTACACAGCCAGTATTTCTCAGAAGTAGGACTTGAATCCAGGTCCTGTTGGCTTTGGGGCCAGACATCTCTCAGCTATGCTATGCTGCCCCTTTATTTAGTAGAAACAATTTCATTTGTAAAGAAATTTGAAAGTTATATTATACCTCTTAGTTATTATGGGAAGAAGTTTCTCTGCTAATGAAAATTATTCAGTTAAAAGCACTAAGACTTCTAGGTTCTTCTTTGCCAAACATAAAGTTTTAGTATATGTGTGTGTGTGTGTGTGTGTGTGTGTGTGTGTGTGTATGTGATTATCAGATTTATACTTGGGGACTACCTCTGTCTTATTAATGGGCAAGGCTAATAGATGTAAGAAAATAGTCTGGTTTCCTGAATGTCAGTAATGTGGAGATAATTATGGCAGGAATTTAAGGAGATTGTTCAAATGTAAATATAGTTCACCTTTTATCAAAGGGAAGATGAGTGATTTGGAGTGCGGAAATATGACTTATGTTAAATTGAAACTACGTGGCCTTTTAAGTAATCATCTAAATTTGAATTTAGCAAGTCACATTTATAGAGAGACTGTCCCTTTCCAAAAATGCTTTACATTAATCAACAAGCACTTATTAAGCAGGCATTATACTAAGTGCTGGTGATATAAGAAAAAAAAAGATAATCCTTACTATCATACACACACACACACACACAGAGTAGTTGAATACAGGGTAGTTTGGGACGTTTGCCATGGAAAGACGTCTTGTAGGACATAGTGCTTGGGCTTCATGTTAAAGCAAGAGAAGGAACTCTGAGGTGCAGGTGAAGAGGGAGCCCATCCCAGGCATGGATCTAGTTGATGCGAAGAGATGGAGGATGGAGGGTCATGAGTGAAAAACCAAGAGACCAGTTGAATTGCAAAGGGAGAGATGAGAAGTAATGGCCAAGGAGGTTGGAAAAGTAGGTTGAAAAACAGCCCTTGAATAGGGTCTTCTCAAAGAACTGTGCTATGATCATCATGAAATGATGAAAATCTTAGATACCAAATGACCTGCACAGAACTTATTGCTGTGATAGAATGGTTGTGTAATTCAGAGAAAGAAAATTAAGATGTTAATTTAAAACAATTGTCATATTTGTAATGGGTTTTGTTTTTCTTGCCTTCTCAGTGGGGTGTGTAGGGTAGAGAGAATAGAGAGAATTTGGAACTGAAAGTAATATAAAATTGAATTTAAAACAAGAAAAGAAAATTTCTTTTTTTTAATTGTATATGTCTTTAAGAAACTCCAGTTACTTTTTTGGCTTACATGTTTTAGAGTAGCATAGTTTTTATTATTTTACCTTTATACTAGGTAAATTACTCTGGTCTTCCTATTTTGTAGTACAATAACTACCCACTTCCTCTTACTCTCACTTTCTTGTCCCTAGTTTTCAAACTTCCTGATTTGCCATTTATGTCTTTAAGATGTAAAGGATATCAGGCTTGATGACACACACATCTGTGATCCGCTGCTATCAGAGGAGAATGAAGCTGAGTTCAAAAGCTTTGAGCTCAATAGAGCTAAAGACTGCACTGTGTGGCACCAATAGGACAAGCCTCCGGGGTGAGGGACCCCCAGACTGCCTAAGGAGAAGTGATTCAGCTTATGTTGGAAATGGAGCAAGTCATAGCTTCCATGTGGGTCAGCTGCAGGGTCATTTTCATAAATGGTTGCTGTTCTTCTAGCCTGGGGGAGATAGGGAGACCTAGTCTTTGCCCCTCCCCCCAAAAAAAGAAATGAAAAAAGAGAAAAAGAAGTGGGGGTGGGATGAGGTAATGCTGTTCTCAGAAACCTTGTAGGTTCATCATAGGTGTTCTTTGAAACTAAAAAATATGGTGTAAAAGAATGTGTTGAATTTTAGAGAAACTATTTAAAAGCATATGAAATTTTCTTGCCAATAATTAAAGTAAAATTTGGTTGTTATAGTAGTCACCCTCACAAATACTCATCTTGATGTTACAGACTATAGAGTGTTAAGACTAGAAGGAATCTGATCTAATCACCTTATTTTACTAATGGGGAAACTGAATCCCAAAGATATCTTACAGATAGCAATAGAGCCAGGATTTAAATCCAGTTCCCCTGACTTCAAGAACAATAGTTTTGCCATTTTAGTTCTTAAAATACTATATAAATGCTATCTCTTATTATTATTGATACTAAACTATACTTCATCCCTTTAAATCAGTCTGATATATGGTAGAAGGAAATTTGAATACCAGTGAGGCAAATCATTTTGCCAAGTAGCAGGGAAAATCAGACTTGAGACCTTTTGTTAGGGTTTTTCAATGATTTACTCAGGGATCCCAAAAAGTGGCTTAACCTTGTATGTTGCATTCCACTCATATGAAAAATAGGAGACTCTCACTCTTGTCGTGGCTATGATTGAGTTTTAATAAAGTAATCTAATGGAAGAGGAGCACAGCCATGTCATATTTTTAAAAATTTATTTAGCTGTTAGTTTCTATCTCTCCTTAGCCCAATCTTTGGTGAATCTCTTAAAAATAAACAGAATTCAATGATTTAAAAGAAAGCAATTTCATTCTTCTACGCTTTCCCCATTCATGTTTCTCCTCTGAGAGCAGTAATAACAAAAAAAAAAAAACAATGAAAGAGAAAAGCCAAACACATATTTTGCTTTTTACCTCTGAACTGGTTACAGTCTATAGTAATATTTCCTACCAGCAAATTGTACAGATAATATTAATGAGTTAAAAAAAAACTGGGATCTGGGTATTTTAGAACTCCCAGAATCTATTTATTCCTTATTTTGAGGTGGATGTTACTTAACTTCCAAACTCATTAAGGGAAAGGGAAAGGAATAAGCATTTAAATAGCACCTACTGTGTCCCTTACTGCTTTTCAAATACTATCTCATTTGAGACCCACTACAACCCTGGGAGGTCCCATTTTACAGTTGAGGAAAGTGAGGCAAACTGAGGCTAAGTGACTTCCCCAGGGTCACTACAGCTAGTCTGTGTCTAAGTTCACATTTGAACTCAGGTCTTCCTGATTCCAGGCCCCACCTTCTCTACACTGTACTACATAATTAGTTGAGCATCATTTAAAGAAACCAAGCTGCCATTTTTCCTGCTCCTAGCCTTTGTGGGTCCATAATGAAGGACATACACAGGAAATGCAGCAGTGCTAGAAGGTATTAGAAAAACTAGACTGTGCCTGACAAAGCAGGTTTCATGCTTCCTTGTGTTTCCCACAAGGAGGCCCGCTACAGTCATCCAGACTGAACCGGCCTCTAATCTGTGGGTTGCCAGAGCTGAGCCAAGCAGGATAGAGACAGGAGAGTCAGGAATCAAGCAGAAGTTTAATTTCAAAGTGAGGGAAATGGCTTGCAAGCCAGGAGGCAGATTAGACACATGTGCCTGACAGGGCCCCACCCCTAGTGGGAGGACCTGCTTTAGTGTAGGCAGTTCTCAATATTCTAGTGGCTATACAGTGAACTGTAGCCCTGACAATTAGGGGTAACAGCAGTAATGTGACAAGTTTGATTCATAGCAGAGCTTTATGACCAGAACTTGTCAGTGCTTGTTGGAGCTCAGGGAACACCTGGTGTTGGTCAAAGCAATACAATAATTATGCGATTTTACCAGAGGGTGAGATCATCTAAAGTGTAAGGGAGCTCAAGGGATTGTTGTTATACCAAGCTCAAGGCACAGCCTGCTTGCTGGGTCTTAGCTCTGGAAAACAGGGTGTCTCCAAATATCTTGACAACTGTAAAGGCTAGGCATGACTTTTGCAAAAGGTGCTGAGCTTGCATACAATAGTAATGAAAGTATCAGTTCAAGTGAAAAGTATCTATGTTGTGAGAAGCCTTCTTAAACAGAGTTTCATTTTAGCAGATTGCTTCATCAGGCCTGCACAAATATATTCTCTTTTCTTACAGGCACCAGATCATCAAACAATTTTATTTAACCATGGAGCAGTACAGAATATAGCTCATCTGCTAACTTCAGTGTCATACAAAGTAAGATATTAAACTTATAGCAGCCCATTGGTTTTGTTTGTTTTTTGCTTGATTTTTATTTCTTAAGCCCCTTTTCAAGAAGAGCCATACTTTATTGCATTTGTAATGTTTGCAATCAGGAAAAAGTGACCTTGTGAAGAAAATATTCATGGGTATTTTATTATCTATAAAAAGCTTTTCTTCTGACATTTTTAACAGCTGCAAAGTGCTTTCACTTTGTGGTAGGCAGGAAGTTGGTTTTGGTTTTTATCTGTTTTTATCAACAGTGTTTCAAGTCTTTTCCTGGCCCAATGGCAATGAAAACTACTAACTGTCCTTTAGAGAAGTATCTTGAAGTATATGCTGCTTCTGAAAAAATGATGTGTCATTTCTGGAAGTACATTGGATTGGAAGTTTCTGAAAACTATTTTCATTTATTCACATAACTCTATAGTCTAACATGATGCATTTTGATATGAACATTTAAGATGTGTTATACTATTTCTGAGAAACTACACTGTAGGTCAAGTAGTCATCAGTGTTTAAGCTATTTAGTCTTTTTTTTTCCAGTCTTTCCTTTAAAAAGATAAGTAGGTGAGCAATAAATTAGCCCTTTGAAATACATTTTTAAATTAAATCTTGATAATGTCAGCTTGTTTCCCAACTGTGTTATACTAGTAAACCAAGAATATATGCTTATTTGTTTCATAGTAGATCCTGATTTTTTTTTTATGAGAGATGCTTCAGAGGAGGTTGTCAGTCATCCTAACAGGCCACCTTATCGTTCCTAACCAGAATCTGCTTGTTCCCATATTTTACCACCTGTTTTCAGGTGGTGTCCATAGTTTTGGTTCTGTCACCTGCTAGGAACATTTAACCCAAGGTGATTGTGCCACGTTGGGATTAGGCCAGGCTAGGACTGCTAAATAGAAAAGCTACCTCTGCTCCATGTCCTTCAACTGTGGATTGGGGAGGCAGGTCTTTCCATTGCATCCAGCTAGTTCTACTGATCTGGACCTTGTTTCTCTTTTGAGAAATGGGTTCATGAATTATAGGAGGAATACAGAGGGCTCTGACTCAAGGACAAATAACTAAGAAGGCTCATATGATTATAGATTAGATAATTAAGACCTTAGAGGTCACCTAATCCAAACCCCTCAAACCTTTCATTTTACAGATAAAGAAACTAAGACTGAGAGAGGTTAAGTGCTTTGCTCAAGATCATACAAGCAATAAACATCAGAACCAGGTTTGAAACCAGATCCTCTGAATCTAAAACCAATGTTCAAAGCTTTTCAAGAAACCAAGAAAACGGGGAAGCTAGGTGGTGCAGTGAATAGAGCTCAGGCCTTGGAGTCAGGAGGACCTGAGTTCAAATCCAGCCTCAGACTCTTAACACTTACTAGAGCTGTGTGACCCTGGGCAAGTCACTTGCCCCAGATCGCCAAAAAACCCCGAAAGCAAAAAGAAAAAGAAAAAAGGAACCAAGAAAACCTTGGAGATCATTGTAAATGTTCCAGGATAGCTTTGTGGTTACAAAAGATATGCAGAGGGAGCAAAGTAAGCAATTATTTTTCCAGCCCTAAGTTTGGCAAATGTGATAGCTGCATTGCCACTGTTAGCAGCTGTAGAGAAAGTGTTGATTTGGTTTTGATATATGAAATTCATAGCCATAAATAATAGCCCTTGGTGCCTGTAGATTTCAAAGTAGGGAGAGATAAAGCCAGAATGAGAGTAGGTAAGTAAGTCACTAGGCTATTTAGCCATTGTATAGGGCACTGAGACTGCAACTAGAAGGTTGGGAATGAGAATATAAGAGAGACAGAGACAGAGGCAAAGACTGAAATATTCTAGGTTCCTTAATTTAAAAGGAAATGATAAGGGTCTAATCATATTTTCACTATCACAACTAACAGGATCCAAGTTTCATCAATTAAATACTGTGCTTCCCATTTTCATACATAGCATTTTCCTATTCCCTTTATACACTCAAACCTTAAATTCCCCTACCCCAATTAAAACAAACAGTAAACCAAGAACTTCTGTTTGATTATATCTTAATTGCAATTCCTTCTTGCTACCAGTTACTTAGCCATTTGTTTCTAAATATAGAACAAAACATTTTATCCTCATTAAAGAAATTTCAGGCATTAATAGGTTTTTATTTTGTTTGTTTTTCTCTACCAAATGAGCCCTTGATATTAAAAAAAAAAGGCCATACTTGAAAGTAAATCAGATTTAGTGCTTTTGAGATGACTTAAGGGAATGAAGGAGGACTGAAAGGAGTTCTTGGTCCTTCTCTGGACTTTCCTAGGAAAGCTGACTGAGATTGCTAGAGGCCTAGTGCAAGTTACTGCTAGATTGAAGGGTCCTTTGTGTCATCGGTATTTTTGCGGTTCTAAAACCTCATACTTCCTACAAAAGATGTCATGCCTATCCTGCATATATATATATATATATATATATATATATATATATATATATATATATACATATATATATATATGTATGTATAAACAATATGTCTATGTGTATATATTCATATATATGAGATAAAATACAAATTTGATAAAATGAGAAAATTTGGTTTACAAAAGAGGATGATAAACTTCACACATCTCTAATAGGTACATTTTGCCTTTTAAAAAAGTATATAATAAATTCCACAAGTTAATTTCAAAGCTGTCTTGCTTGTCTGTGTCTCCTAAACTTTCTTTTATCATTTTCTGTGCATTTAAAAGTGCTTCTTTTTGGGGGGGGGGTATCACTATAGCTAGTCCTACTTTCTCCTCTAACCTCTTTTAAAACAAAAACAAAAATTAAAAAAAAAGCTTTTAAAAAATAAACATAGTCAAGCAAAACAAATCCACATTGGCCATATCAAAAAATGAACATGTCTTTCTATACTTTGAGTCTGCCTCTCTGTGTGCTTCATCATTAGCTCTCTGGAATCATGGTTGGTCTTTTGCATTATTAGAGTTCTAAAGGCTTTTGCAATTGTTTTTCTTTTAAATATTGTAGTCATTAAATAAACTGTTCTAATTCTCACCTCCCTCTTTTGCATCAGTTTATACAAGTTTTTACAGGCTTCTCTGAACCCATCCTTTTTGTCGTTTATGGCACAATAATATTCCATTCTATTTATTTGTCATAATTTCTTCAGCCACTCCCCAGTTGATGGGTGGCCACTTAGTTTCTAGTTCTTTTCTATAACATAAAGGCCTCTTATAAATACTTTTGCACATACAGGTACAAATTTAATTTAACTCAGTGTAAATCCTGGGACTTGATCCTAATACTTTAACTTAAAGTATAAATAGTTACTAAACAAGAATACTACACTGAATAAAACCTGGATTTATTCATATACTAAACACTTATTTTAACAGCAGTAGCAAAAATGACCATTTATTGATCATCTATGATATTGAGAATTCCAATCTGACTCTGCACCTTCTTCCCAAATAGTCATGGAATTTCTTGAACTTTGAACTTTGGTAACTACAGCTATTTCCATTTCATCATTCCAAATGAATGTTTGGAATTTACAGTCTAGGTTAATCATTTTGTGTATGGCCCAAATTTCATGATGCCAGACTACTAGAGCTGGCCAAATCACAGACTCATACAAGCAGAAGTGACAAGAATAAAATGAGTGTCTATGGGAAGGCAAGGGACGTTTTTTCTTCCCTGGCCCCCATCTTATTCTTTTTTTTTTTTAATCATCCCTTTTAAAAATATTTTTTATTCTTCCATTTGCAAATCTCTTCTTTCATCATGCTCTACTTTACTTAACAGTCACTCAGTTTTCTCTCCACCACTTCTCCTTCCCTCTCCATCAATTCTGCCCGTCAGTCATAAACATTTATTAAGTGCTTGGCATGTACCAGGTAGCATGCTTATACTATAGCAAATTATCAAATTGCCATATGTTATGTAGAATGAAAAACATTTGGAAACTCTACATTAGTGATAATGTGTAAGAGTTTTTTGTTGTTTTTTGAGATATTCTAATATTATCATCCTTTATGAAAACTTAAAAAGTACCAGCACTAGTGTATGTAACTATACAGACTATTGCCTGTTTTACTTGGGAATTCTTTCACATGATAGTTACCTTTCATATGGATGTTTGCTATTTTCAGGTAGTATACTATGCTCCTGACTAGTGAAAATAGTGAATAGAGAAAAATAAAAACAGTTAAAATAGTAGTCTTCACAAATGGCAGAGTACGCCTTCTATTATAAAAACATGGGAGTCTACATAATACCATAAAACATGATAACATAGGTGCTAAATGTAAAAAATAGTTCATTTAAGAATTTAGTTGTGTAGAAGGACAACAGATCTTAGGCAGTATATAAAACATTAACAAATTAGTGTTTTCAAACTCTTCTCCAGAATAACTGGAATCATTTCTGGAAATTACTTCTCTTCTCCTTACCTCATTGTTGCTTTTCTGTTCTCAGTTGTATCATTTGAAATGTACTTGTTGATTATCATTATTTCCTGTGTGTTAAAAAAAAACTATTACTTTAGTTTGATTATTTTAAATACTTTCCTTCTCCTAGCACTTCATTCGTCTACTGTTGTCATATAAATCGTCCTATTTATGTCTTTATTGTACTTTGTTGTACTTATTCAGGTACTTAACAATGTAGATTTTTACTCTTTACACCTTTTATCATATTATGCATATTAGGACTTCTTCGTAAGCCTATATTCTTATTGATTACAGATCAGTTTTTGCAAACTCTGAAGTAGTATGCATTTTCTGGTTTGAGGTTGGTTGGTTGGTTTGTTTTTCTTTCTTTCTTTTTTTTTAACAGGTTCGAATGCAAGCACTGAAATGCTTCTCAGTTCTAGCTTTTGAAAACCCCCAGGTATCCATGACCCTTGTAAATGGTAAGTTAAAGACTTTGCTGGCTTTTTCTGTTTTAAAAAATGAACAACTTTATATCTTTAAAGAATTTCCCAAATTCTAGTTTGTTTGCTTTTTTATTTCTAGTTTTGGTTGATGGAGAATTACTACCCCAGATTTTTGTGAAGATGTTACAGAGGGATAAGCCTATTGAAATGCAACTCACATCAGCAAAATGGTAAAACTTAAGATGACACGAAGGGAAAGGAAATACATTTATAAATATTTCAGAGTATTAGCAGGATATCTTTTAACTGCTTCCTCTCTTGTTTGAGGAGTTGGAGAAATTTTTGGTGCTCCCTTGAGCAATTTATTCTTAAGCATAGTTGGAAATTAGCAGGGATCTCATCTAGAATTGCACTTACTAAACCCTAGAATATGTTATAGTAACTGACGTGTAATATGTTTATTATCCTCAATGGAAAAAGAAAAAACAACCAAAAGCTAAAAACATTGTTAACATCCCAGTGTTTGTAGTCCAGCTGCCAATAGTATAGAATCATAATTCTGAAAAATGTCTTTAATATCCACATGTGGTATAATATGAATAGCTTTGGATTAGAAATATGTCATATTATGACAACTAAACTGCATTTAAATTCAAGCTCTCTGTTATGGTTGTCTCTAATTGGTATACTTGTTTTTGAGTGTAATCTTTACAATTTATTTTATTCATCCTTTTTGCTAGCACCCCAGCACTGTCTGTGCTACTAGTTGGTCTTGTTTGAACATTTGATGACTGGATATAGGAAAAGAAATATGCTTCTAGCAAATTATTATTCACCTGATTTTCATATGAAATCTTAAAAACAAATTTAAAAATAGATTTATAAACCAAGTAGCAAGTTTATATTTTTCAATTTATTTCTAGCTTAACATATATGTGCAGAGCTGGAGCAATTCGGACAGATGACAATTGTATTGTATTAAAGGTAATTTCATTTCAAATTGTTCTCAGATGGGATGTTACTTTTTTCAGAAACCAAAATATTTTTACATTTATTATTATTTCCTGATTTTCTCTCTCCATTCATTGATCATTGGATAATATATGTATGTATATATGTATATGTGTATATATATATATATATATATATATATACACGTATATATACATATATGTATATATATACACACACACATATGATAAATACTATAGAAGTACTGTGTGTTGCATGCATTACTTCACTTCATATAAATGGGTTAATCATTTAGATTTTTAAAATTGGTGCTAGGTATGTTTTGAAAAATCTAAGACCAGGAATGAAACATATTTATAATCACTTTTGGGATCTTCTGGTAATGGGAAAGATGTAGAATGTATGTGAACACAGAAAAGCCAAAAATATTTTGCCATTACTTGTAACTCGCTTTACTTGTAGGTATTTAATGTTACCTCATTTTGATAAGTATAGCCAATCATAATCTCATATCAAGGCATTATTAAATATCCTAGAAGTCATACTATGATACCTCATCATGGACTCAAGATGGCCCCCCAGACTGGCCTGTTCTCGTGTGTGTTTGCATTTCCAATCAGTTATCCACTCTTTTGTTTCTTTAGTGGGATTTGCCACCACTGACTCAAGTGTTTCTATCCTGCCAGTTATTTCTGTTATATGTGCCACACATTCTGGTTTTACAATTCTTATTTCTCTTTTAAACCAGTCAGTAACATCCTCCCGTGGTTGCATGATTTCTGAGGGCCACATACCTGCATAAACAATTCGCATTGCTCCTTCTACCATTAATTTGTAAGGAAAGATCTAAATTATCAGTTTTTAGCCTCTCACACTCCGCCATGACTTTTACTCCCTGAAAATCCAGAAAGTCTTCTGCCTTATCAAGTGTTGATTCATTTTTCTTTGCTTTGAAGTATTTATTCATAGATGCTGAACTTTTTTACCTAATTCAGAGGTCATATACCTTTCAACTATTAGTATTTTCCCTATTGGTTTATCTGTTATACTCAAGGTCTTTATTTGAGTTTTCTTCTTCCTCTGGTCTTTTGTCATTTCAATCTTTTTTTTTAACATGTTTAACATTTTTTTACATATGAGTTAACATATGTAAAGCACTTTGCAAAACTTAAATCTATATAAATGCTCACTTTCTGACTCTCTTCCTTTTGGATGGCAGTTTTCCTAGGAGCTAGATCTCAAAAATGACTGGGTTTCCTCCCAAGCATTTCATGATTTAATCAGTCCCAGTCTCTAAATGCTAGGCTCTTTCCTTCAGGATTAGTAGAGTGCCACACAGCTACACATATGTGTCCTGTCCTCTTTCCCTCTGTTCCTCTATTCTCTAGTCAAGCTTTGCTGTAGCACTGAGTGATCCTATACTGTTTTCCCAGCCTGAGCAAATTTCTGCCGCTTAGATATCCCTGGCACTAGGAGGTAGGAGGAGGAAGAAGATTGTTAGTTGTGCAGAGTTGAGTTTTATTGTATGTATGTGGATCGGGGTGTGCATCTTACCTGCTGGGACTCTGGTGGGTGGTGGGGAGGGAGTGCTTAAGGGGTTAGGGAATTTTTTCCTGTTTTTTGGTTCATCTGGTTTTTACCTTATTTGGGTTCTTGGTATCCTAGCCAGTGCTTCTCGAACTGTGGGTCACAACCCCATATGGGGCTGATTAGGGGTCACAAATGGAAAAAAGTTTAAGAAGCCCTGTGACGTAGACTGCAGAGACAGCTGAAATTGCTCTAAATTCCGATTTCAGAGACGTTTAAGAGGTCATGAGGATCAGAGAAAATGTCTGGTTTTCTATCTTGTTGGTCACATGACTTAGAAATTGGCCCTAGGTTATCAAAGGCTGTGCCAGTGGAGTTCAAGTTCTGGCAGATATCAGTAGGTTAAAAAGGCTTCAGAGTCAGGTGCAGTGACAAGACTGGATGTCTTTCATTCAAGGACCAACCTTGCTAAGTTCAGAAAGTCTCATCATTTAGACAAATACATTTTCCAGTCTACAGCAAGTCACAAAGATCATCTGGCAAGATATGTTATAGGTAGGACCTCAGTCTTTCTTGATTTACTAACATGGACAAAATTACAGATTCTTGAAGCATGAGTTTAAATCCTAATTTCCAAATTAAGCATAGTAGTAGTTAATGAGTTGATGTGGTAACAAAAGGCAAATACAGTTTAATATTACAAAGTCTACCTGCTTTGCAGTAATGACTGTCTGACTTTATGAAAAATGTGAACTAAATCTTTTAAACAGTTCTATCATTTTCAAGTACAATGGGCAACTAAAGTGAAGTAAGTTAAGAAAAATGTAATTTAACAATGGATCCTTATTTCATAATTTGCCACTAGCAGAAAAACAAAAAGGAAGTTTTATGATGTACATAGTTATCTTTTAACTTACAAAATGATAGGCACCATAAATTATGAATGGTGATAATAGTCTGTAAATATCCAATGAGTTAACATATGTAAAGCACTTTGTAGCCCTTGACATGCTTATATAAAATTCTAGTTAATTATTGCATAGCTTTCAGTTTTTCCTTATTGTTCTTACTGTTTTACAGTCTTGTTGTCATTTTTACATTGTCTTCCTGGTTCTGATTACTTCAGTTTCATCAATTCATAGAAGTCTCCCCATCCTTCTCTGGATTCTTCATGGATTCGTTATTTTTTAGGCATAATAACATTCTATTGAATTTATGGACCACAGTTTGTTTTGTATTTTTTCTTTAGTGGACATGTACTTTGTTTCCCAGTTCTTTGGTGCCACAAAAAGCGCCAGTATAAATATTTTGATTTATGTGGTACTTTTCTGTCATTGACTTCTTTCCAGGTGTGTACTTAGTGGTAGGATCTTTGGGTTAAAGTGTATGGTCATTTTAGTAGCCATTTTAGCAGAATTCCAATTTTTTTAAGAATGGTTGGACTAATTCACATCTAAATCAGTAGTGTATTAATGAGCCTGTTTTCCTGCATATATCCTTTCCAACAATGACCATTTCCATGTTTTGTCATCTTTGCCACTTTGCTGGGGGTGAAGTGAAACCTCAGAGTTGTTTTGGTTTGCATTTTTTTTTCTTAGTAATGATCTGGAGCAGTCTTTCATATGGTTGATCATACTTTACAATTCTTCTTTTGAAAACTGTCATTTGACCACTTATCCTTTGGGAAATTATTCTTGGTTAGGAAATTAATGCAGATATATCTTGGCTATCAGACCTTCATCACAGGTATTTTGACAGAAAGATTTTATTCCCCAGATCAGTTGTTTCCTTTATTATCCTAGGCACATTGATTTTGTTTGTACAAAAGCCTTTTATTTTCATGAAATAGAAATTATTTTATTTTTCATGATTTCTTCTTTTCTTTTTTTTTTTGTTAAGGATTCTGTCTTCAACTGTAGTTTTAAGAGTTACCTGGTTTCATTCTCTTTTTATTGGTATAACCTTTTACATTCAAGTTGTGTATCTGTTTTGAGCTTATCAGGGTATATGGCATAAAATGTTGGTCTAAAACTGATTTCTGCTAAGCTGCTTTCCAATTCTTTAAGCAGATACCCCAGATTTAAAAAATAAATAAATAAATGCCAGTGTTCAAGAATAGGCAACTCTGCCCAGCTGCCTGCCAGGCAAACCAGAGGCATCTATTACAGAAAGTAAGGGCAGTTTTTTGTTTAAAACAAAAGATTTGGGAAGTAAGCACAAACAGAGAAGGCTTTATGAAAACTAAGAGATAAATTGAGGAATACTTGCCATAGAGTTCAAAGTCTATGATAAGGGGTCTTTAAATATAGCAAAGATATATTAGGTGTGTGTATGTGTGTGTGTATGTGTGTGTATGTGTGTGTGTGTGTGTGTGTGTGTATATATATATATATATATATATATGGGTATGTATGGAGTGTGTGACATATACTTATGTAAATAGATGTATGTTAATATAGAGGAAGCTAATTGGTACAGTGGATAGAGCACCAGGCTTAGAGTCAAGAGGACCTGAGTTCAAATCGAGCCTCAGATACTTATTAGTTCTGTGACCCTAGGCAAGTCACTTAACCCTGTTTGCCCAGTTTCCTCATCTGTAAAATGAGCTGGAGAAGGTAATGGTAACTTACTCTAGCATCTTTGCCAAGAAAACCTCAAATGGGGTTATAGAGAGTCAGACATGACTGAAATGACTCAACAACAAAATTATCTATATGAGACAGACAGATACACACACACATATACACATACATACATATGTGTTTTTGTTTAGCCATTTTTTAGTGTTGTCCAACTCTTCATAACCTCATTTGGGGTTTTCTTAGCTAAAACACTACAGTGCCTTGCCATTTTCATCTCCAGCTCATTTTGCAGATGAGGAACTGAGGCAAACAGGGTTAAGTAACTTGTCCAGAGTCACATAGCTAGTAAGTGTCTGAGGCCAGATTTGAATTCAGATTTTCTTTTCTTCAGGGTGGGCACTCTATCCACTGTACCACTTAGCTGCTTCTACATATACACATACATACATACATACATACATACATACATACACACACATATATGTATATGTATCCATGTCTAGGAGCTTAAAATCAAAATAAATATATCTGAAACAGAATAGTTAAATGCTAAAGTATGTTCCTATAATAGAATTTCAGAGATAGTAGAAATCAGAGGAGGGACTACAGTAGTAGAGAAAAGTTTTATGGAAGATGTTAGTTACTAAGATTGCCGTTCCTAAATTGTCTTTTAAAATAGACAACCCAGAAGTATTAGACTAAATATTATTAAACACACAGAACATATTATTTGGAAAACCAAATACTGATAAATCACCATGGTTGGATGGTAATTGCTGAAACTTTTCGAAGGTCAAATGATAAGACTGTTAGCCAAAATGGCAGCTTAACCTATCGTTAGAAATGTCCACTGTGCTAAAGGACTTTTACTTTCCCATCATACCTCTGAAAAATGTGCTACAG